GCAGGGCCAGATCCAGGATTAACGAATAGATGCTGATGCAAACCTGGGTTTTGCACTGGAACCTGCTCAAGTTTCCGTTTCACTTTGCTTGTTGGCGAGGGCAGAGGAGGGGCACTCGCCTGAGAGTCAGGATCTGTGAGTTCTCATGACTCACTGTGACCTTTAGATGTATCACGTAAGCCACCTGTGCCTCAGTGTCATCACCAGCAGCATGTCCTTAACCGCCCTGCCTAATTCACAGTCAGGGCTGCTGGGAGGATCCAATGAACATAACTACTCTGGAAACTCTGAAACATGATGCCAATATGGGACATTTCTATAAATGAGACCCAATGCTATGAACTAGAGCCACTGCCATTTATTGAGTCCCCAGCTCACTCAAATTATTTGATGAGATAAAAGGAAACATTTTCTGGCTGGAAGGCATCAGTGCTACCATCTCACAAATACATACTCACCCAAAAAGGATGAGCCCAGCACTGGAACTCAGAACACAAAGAACAAGGTGTCCCTGGAGTATCCCCTAAGCCTCAGAAAAGAGGGAAATGCATGGAAATATGAATCATCTGAGCCTCCTGGCCTCATTTCCAGATCTACAGAACTGGAAATTTTTTACGCTATTGACAGGACTCTTGACATGTTCTGGGGATGGAAAAGGAATAGAATTAGCCATCACTTGTCACCTACCATGTGCCAGGGAATCTGAGGGTAGTTCCTTGGAGTACTCTGTGATCCTTTTCAACCACATTGTGAGTTTGCAGACAAAGGAACTGATTTTCAAGGAGCTAAGCAAAATTATAAGGTGCAAAAGAGGAAGGTTGTGGGATTAGTGAACTTTCTATGGATAACAGAGAATATGAGATGGTTTCAAAGGTAATTTTTTAAACCGCCCTGCCTAATTCACAGTCAGGGCTGCTGGGAGGATCCAATGAACATAACTACTCTGGAAACTCTGAAACATGATGCCAATATGGGACATTTCTATAAATGAGACCCAATGCTATGAACTAGAGCCACTGCCATTTATTGAGTCCCCAGCTCACTCAAATTATTTGATGAGATAAAAGGAAACGTTTTCTGGCTGGAAGGCATCGGTGCTACCATCTCACAAAGACATACTCACCCAAAAAGGGTGAGCCCAGCACTGGAACCCAGAACGCAAAGAACATGGTGTCCCTGGAGTATCCCCTCCAGACAAGCATGAGGTATGAAGCAATGAAACAGCATGTTCATGGAGATACAGTTTGGCTGAGCACAGCTGTGAATGGATATTAGAGGGAGATAAGATTACAACATGGGCTGAGACTCTATCAGTCAGGGTTCAAGGAGAGACAGAGACTTTGTAGGATAGGTATGTACTTGATACAGGGAAATTCTCACACAATTGTGGGAGCTTGACTGTGATTTTTTTTCTCATCAAGAGATGCGGTTTATCCCTGGCCAGTATGGCTCAGTTGGCTGGAAGGCTGCTGTCTTGGCATTTAAGGCTGGAGCCTAAAGTCCACATGGCAATCATTCAGGAAGGGAAGAGCAAGAGTAAGGTGGAACTCTGAAAACTCAATAATACATGATAAGTAACCCAATTTAAAAATGGGTAAAGTCTCTACATAGGTATTTCTCTAAAGAAGATACATGAAATGACATCGCCATTAGGGTATGAAAATCAAAATCACAGTGAGCTTTTACTTCCCACTTCCTAGAGTAGCTATGATCAAAAATCCTATATAATAAAAGGCTAACATGCAAATCGACTGAACAGCAGAACAACGGGTCGCTATGATGCACGCTGACCACCTGGGCCTCAGTGTCATCACCAGCAGCATGTCCTTAACCGCCCTGCCTAATTCACAGTCAGGGCTGCTGGGAGGATCCAATGAACATAACTACTCTGGAAACTCAATGCAGAAGTGCCCCCTGGTGGTCAGAGCGCTCCCACAGCGGGAGCACCACTCAGCCAGAAGCCGGGCTCACAGGTAGCAAGTGCAGCGGTGGTGGCGGGAGCCTCTCCTGCCACCTCAGCAGCATTAAGGATGTCCGACTGCCAGCTTAGGCTGCAGGGAGCGGGCCTAAGCCATCAGTTGGACATTCCCCCAGGGCAGGCTGAGGGACCGCCCCCCTGCCCAGTGCACGAATTTCATGCACCAGGCCTCTAGTACAGATAATAACAAGTGTTGACAAGAATGCAGAGAAATTGGAATCCTCATGTGTTGCTGGTGAGAATTTAAAATGCTGTAGTCACTTTGGGTAGTTTGGCAGTTGCTCCAATTGAGTTACCATATGACCCAGTAACTTCACTCCTAGGCATATACTAAAGAGAAAGGAAAACATATCCACACAAAACTTATACACAAGTTTGAACGTATTGACAGTAGTCAAAACAAAAGGAACGTGGCACAAAGCTGGGATAGTCTCATGCTGGAGAAGCACTGTGGATCTGCTGGAACAGCTGATAAGATTGCAGAGGTGAGCAACCCTGGGAAAAGGTCAGGGTCCATGGGATTCAACTTGCCCACCGTCAGGAAAGCGTAAGGTCTTGTTTTCCTCACAGGGAAGCCACATTGCTGAGGAAATTATTCCTCCCTGGGAATTCCTGATCCTTATTCCCTCCATTTCTCTAGCAATGATATCTTAATTGATGTTTAATTATTTTCATTTCTCAAAGTTAATTACCCTCCTAAGTTACCATCTCAGCTGAATCACTCTGCCTGCCCCGGAGTATGTGTGCATGGGTGTGTGTGGGTGTGTGTAGATGTGCACGGGTGTGTGGTTTGCAAGCATACACGTGTTCACACAGCTATGATCATCTGTGTTCGTCCTTCACTTTATCAAAGATAATTGTCACAATCTTGAGACTACATGTGTGAATATAGCTGAGAGCAACAGAACAGAAAACAAAGAGAAAAAATGTCTTCATGCTTGTGTCTAGGTTAGAATTTTCCAATTTTTTTCAGTGTATGGCATAGATGGCTTCTCAATTATATTTTCATGGCAACTCTAGGCCAAAAGCAAAACCTGTTCTTTTTATGAAGTCATTGGGTCCAAACAACTTAATAAGTAGCTGTATCCAAACAACTTAGCAGCCATTTGAAAGAGATAATTTACATAAATGAAAGGAAGTCCCTCGTCACCTCCATTACCTTCATTTTGAATTACCCTGCCTTTATTCTGCCACCCCCCACACCTGACCACAATGTCACCCCCTCAGTTCTCGCCTGACACACAGCTCTGCCTTCATGACACAACTCAAGTTTCACCCTACCCTCCTGTCACCCTCCCTCCACGCTGCAGTGAGAATCGCAACACCTTCCGCTTGCCTCCCAAAGCACTTGTGCCTTGAGCACAAGCATCACAGCTACTCACTGTGGTAGACTGCATGCCATAAATAGTGAGGGGATATGTTTATTCATGCCTCTCTCCTCACGGGGTCTGCCACCTTGTAGGTGCTCGATACATGTTTATTCATTGAATGAATGATTGACGTCACCAAGTTCACTGAACAATTTTGAAGGGGCAATGTGTGAGAACTACAGGAGTTGCCAGCGTGTAAATGCACAGCCATACACGCACGCCAGTCTACTTGTACACCCGCATTTACTATATACATAGGCAGGCTGACATTGAATATTGGTTCTGGGCCCTCTCCCTGGGCAGGACACAGGGAGAATAAATAATTTACCTGAGATCACACAGCTAGCAGGCAGCAGAATTAGGATTGAAATCCAGGTAAATGAGCTCCGTGTTCTTAACCAGTATGCTCCCCTGCCTCTCACTCCTCCTGGCTGGTGGTCTTTCTTAAGGGTGTGTGTACAAGCAGGAAGAAGTGAAGTGAGCTGCTTGTACTCTGCCTCCATTCTCACCCCTGCTGCCCAAAACTTCCTCAGATTATCCAGCATCATCAAATTTATTAATTCAGTAAACAGGCATGTTGAGTCCTAATCTATACCAGGCACTGGGGTAGCGCTCCGAGCAGAGCACAGTCCTTGCCCTGGCTGAGGAGAGAAGACAGCAGTATTTCAAAATGTAAGAGGTTCATACACAAGGTATATAGGAACAAGGAATAGGATAGAACATTCACGCTTTTAAGAAGACCATCAGGCCGAAACCGGTTTGGCTCAGTGGATAGAGCGTCGGCCTGTGGACTGAAAGGTCCCAGGTTTGATTCCAGTCAAGGGCATGTACCTGGGTTGCGGGCACATCCCCAGTAGGAGATGTGCAGGAGGCAGCTGATCAATGTTTCTCTCTCATCAATGTTTCGAACTCTCTATCTCTCTCCCTTCCTCTCTGTAAAAAAAAAATCCATAAAATATATTTTTTAAAAAAAGAAGAAGACCATCAGAAGGCCACCAGGCTCCCCCAAAAAGCAGGGTTCCTACTCAAACCAGTCAGAATCAATTCATTCCAGAATAAAGAGCTAAATTCTGAATGTTGCTAGTGCACTTCAGGCCGCACCACCTGCCCTGTGACAAGGACACAGGAAGCCCACCCTGTCTCCAAAGCGGGGGGCAAGCTGTTCCTCACCCTGTACCTCAGTTTCCTCCTATGCAGAAGCCCCATGGAGCAGGCTGAACTAGACACACTATTTTCAGCTCCAAAACCTCAATCCATCCAAATATGTGATTAAATATTTATAATGGTTCTTCAAAAATAAAGAGAAAGCATACAATTTAAAGTAGATGCAGTTATTTTGATTTTTGGCAAAAGAAGCTACAGACCAAAGGGAGGAGGCCAATTGCCAAAGATCTCACAGGGACATAGAGTTTTTCATCCCTGACCCATCTCTCTTCCTGAGAAGCCAAGCAGGGACACTCAGATGGCTCCCTGCTGCCCCTCATTCTCCAAAACTTAGCTCTCTGCAGAGCACTGCTTAATGTCCCTGGGCACCTACCTTGTGCCCGAATTGTGCCAGGCCCTTCATATCAATGTGGCCTCACTTCATCTTCTTAACAACACTGTGAAGACAGGGTTATCATCCTATTTCACAGGTGAGAAAACAGACTTAGAGAAGTTAATTCATTTGCCTAAAGCCACACAGCAGGAGCCAACTGAGAATCCAGAACATTCATAGTATTCCACATTGAATATTCCTTCCTTCCACTCTGCACATAGATAGTTGGCTTTGATGGTAGGTAGCAGGGTAAGGGAGGCAAAATAAGAAATCTAAAGATTATATTACCTCAAAGCTTTCATGGCGTCATCATCTCTTGTCAAAAAACTCTTTGAACGTTTAACTTACTTAAAAAGAAGGGAACTGGCACCATTTCCTTCCGATGCTGTTTGTTGCTGCCTTGTGTGCTCTCAGCTGCTGCCCACAGCTGGGTTTTGTCCTCTTCCTTCCTTCAAATTTGCTCAAGAAAATGTCCCTCCCTCTTGATATAAGTGCTGAGAAAGGCAACTCTTGGATCCTGTGATCATGGGAGAAGGGGCACCAAGCATCACACTTACATTCCAGTTTGCTAACACAGCCATTCAAGGGCCAAGGCATTGAGCCTCAGTTTAGGTCCTCGGAGAAGCAGGCACCAAGGTGGGCCAAGAAGTGCAAGGGATTGGTGATGTGATACACGTGTGGAGGATAAGAGTGAGAGAATGGGAGTGGGCTGGAGAGAACCTTTAGACCGCAGTGCAGGTCTGACACCCACGAAGAGAGACAAGGGAGGAAGGAAGATTGGGTTTGGGGGGAGACACAGGCTTAAGCTCAGTTCCAAGAAAGTCTTGGCGAGGCTGATGGACAACCTCAGTGAAGAGTCCTGCCCTGGACAGGGATGATCAGGCTCTAGGACCCTCTCTGTGCTCGGCATGTCATTGGCTGTGAAGAGCCTGGGGAGAATGCTGCAGTGATCTCAGATTTGCAGCAACTGGAATCTGTCAGCTAACTGTACTCCTCACAGCAGGGCCTTCTGTGAAGGCAGCTCTGAGAAGCATGCTCCAAAGCTCCCATGCAGAGCTGTCTTCTGCAAAAGCTTTCACAGTTCTAGCAGATCTACACACCTGCAGGTGGGTGCTTGACTGTCTGAGAAAATGGTTGCATTCTTCAGTGACTGTTCCCAGGGGCACTGGAGGTGATTCGGACATCTGAGTCCAATAAGGAAACCTAGGGTGCCTTCTGAAGTAATGCCTGCCTCTCATTTTCATGCCAGACAGTATTAAGTGAGTGGTGGGATGGACAGTCTGTTACCCTGTGTGACTGATTTTGTAAGGAAGGAAGAACGAAAGAAGGAAGTAAGGAGGGGGGAGGGAGGGAGGGAGGGAGGAAGGGAGGAAGGAAGAAAAGAAGACAGGAGGGAGGGAGAGAGGAATGGAGGGATAGGGGAGAGGAGAATGAAAGAGAATATTCACCAAAGGGATAGATCTGTGGAGAATCATCATCTTCCATGAAGCCCACATAAAAGATGTTTGCTAGTATTGATGGAATGAGTGAACCATCTCCATATTTCATGCATTAGCTTTAATGTCTCCCAGTTGAGGTCCTTCATTCAATAAGCAGATATGTACGCCTACTACATGCCAGGCATTATACAGGGTGCTGGGGATGGTGAGCTTCATTTTCACAGTTCCTGCCTGCAAGAGATGAATAGTGGGAAGACACTTGGGGTAATCAGAAATATGAGCAAACATTTACTTTTCTAAGTGCTCTGATAGCAGGATACACAAGGCACTTATTTGATTGCTATGGTTAGCATGTGTCTGTTACAAGGAACATAAAACCCAACTCAAATTGGCTTAAATAGGATGGTTATTGCTTCCCATAAATGTTCTTATAACGAAGTTGCATTTTTCTCTCTTTCTGTGTTCAGAAAGGATGTCTGCAATCTAAACATTACCGGGCCTTCATACTCATGCACCAACATCCCTATATTTTCCACCAAGACTACAACCTTGATCTTCCCAAGATGTGACAAGCAGATGATCTACAAAGTGGAGCACTCTCTTGTGCCCTTCATCCCACCTTAACCAATTCTGTACTTTAGAGCTTGTTACTATGGATGAATGCCCCTCTTTCCAATATCAAGTTCTCTTACCATTTGCAATGCCTTGAATTATAAAGAATAATAAAAATTTAACTCCAAGTGGGTTTTACTAAAAAGAGGATATGTTGGTGAATAAAAATAAAGTGCTGGTTTGAGCTGTAGCCAGTTTGGCTCAGTGGATAGAGTGTTGGCCTTGGACCAAAGTGTCCCAGATTTGATTCTGGTCAAGGGCACATACCTTTGGTTGTAGGCTCCTCCATGGCCTAGGCCCTGGCTGGGGCTCATGCGGGAGGCAACCAATCAATGTGTTTCTCTCACATCAATATTTCTGGCTTTCCCTCTCTCTTCCACTTTCCCTAAAAATCAAAGGAAAAATATCCTTGGGTGAGGATTAAGAAAAAAAGTGCTGGTTTGATTCAGGAGCTCAACAATGTCAACATTTCCATCTCTCCTCTGTTTGCCATGTTGTTGGCTTCATGGTTACAAGAAGATTTTCAACAGCTACCAAAGATCTGTTGCCTTGAACCACATCAAGAAAGTGGGGAAGGAAATTACTACTAGAAGCTCTCTGAGAAGAATGAGGAAGTGCAGTTCCAGAAACTCCTAGAAAACATCTCTTCTCACTTCACTTGTCCAAATGGGATGATGAGCCCAGCCCTGAACCAATCATGATGGCCAGGAAATGTGGCTTTACTAATTAAAATAGTCCTGAACTATGTACAAGGGTTCATACTACTTTCCACAAAACATATGGATTTGAATAGGAAAGGTGTTGATAACTGAATTAAAATTGGGGTTTTTATAAAAATGAATGTTGGGAAGATAACCACAATTTCCATTACAATGATAACAGCAAGCATTTACTGAACCCTTCTAGGCATAAGGGCTGTCTAGCATGGACAAATCTTTGCTCCCATGTTAAACACGTCCCTGAGAGATCCAGCCAGAAAAACCTGAGCCAAGAACTCTGCAAGACTCCAGCTGAAATAGAAACCCACCAAGCTCAGTTCATCTACTCCCACCTCTTCCCCCATCAATGACCACTTTTACCTCACTGTTTTGTTATCTGAAAGCGTGAGGCAGACAGAATTACTGAATTTAGTTAGGTAAGAACCTGAAAGGACCCCAAGGTCTTGTCTTTAACTCAACCAGAAACCATTTGTTCTAATGAGCCCCACTCATCCCCTCCTGACCTTAGAGCTCATTTTACACAAGTGAAGTACCAAATGCCTCTGACTCCTGCTGTTAAAGATGTTCCCATTAAAAACGCTGTCACCTCCCTCAGCGGGGACCTGACTGGAAACTGGCTATAAGGACTCAATCACATGGCACCAAAGTCAGGAAAGATGGATTTGTCTGAAGCAACTGGAAAAGACATGGGAATCAGGTCCCACGTGGGCCAGAGTGGCCTCTTTTTTGCTTCATTCAGATTATCCTTGTGCCACTAGACTTTTCAAAGAAGCCACAGGGAAACTAGGATCTGACTAGGAACCACCCCTCTCCTCCAACCAACTCTGCCTCTCTTTGCTTGGCTGATTCCTCTTCACCCTTCACTACTCACCTTGGTTCTCTTGTCTCTTCCTTCAGAAAGCCTTCCTGACTCTTCCTTCCTTCAACCTTACAGATTATGTAGATTGCCTTTTGACCTTTGTCAAACCCAGAACCCCTTTTCTCTCCACCAGGCACTTAATCCACTTTAGCAAAATAGCTTGATTGTTCATCTATGATCCCTAAAGATCATGGGTGCCATAAGAGTAGGAATAGAGTCTATTTTATTTTCAAATATATCCTTAACCTCTTAGGACAGTGTCTGGCACACATTTTAGGCTCAATAATTATTATGAAAGGAAGAGAAGGAAAGAAAAGACTAGGTAGGCAAACACCCAAAGGAACAATGTCTTGTTGATTCTGTTTTTGCAGTTCCACTAGCCTCATCATAGAGTCTTCTTGACTTAAACTTTTTCATTCTTACAAACCTTGATGGTGATGATGTATTGTCTCTGCCTGCCTTCTCCAGCCCAGATTCTTTGGGCTCTGGGGAGTGGTTGATAGGGGAAGCTATCAAATCAAAGAGGTTCTGCAGGTAGGACCCTGGTGAGCTCTGTTTGTGTTCCTATTCCTCAGTGCCCAGCACAGTGTCTGATGCTTAGAAAAGCTTCAGCCGAGAAGGAGAGAAAAAGGATGAGACACTAGGTAGAAAATATATCAGAGTTAAGAAAGGACTTTTAGGGCCACAGAAATACAAGTAAAAAGAGGGAAGCCAGAGAGAAGGAGATTTTGTGCTGACTAAATGATGGAGAATATAGGGAATTAATGTTAAATGGAGAAAAGTTCACCTGGTCCTCTTGCTGTATTCAAGAGGGGTAACAACTCTAATGGAGCTAACTGTAGCACAACTAGCCACTTTTAGGGTGGAGGAAAATTCATCAGCATCTTAGTCCTATTAATTTCCAGGCTTGCAATTAATTGATTTTTCCTCATTGAATCCCCATAGCAATAAGTAGCTTGTATATAAATATGACAGGTATGCTGGGTGGATAAGAGTATGCCATAGAAATGTAATGACATTATTAATGATCTTGTCATCCATAAAATCGCAATATTTTTTAAAATAAAGCTTTAAGCTTACTTGTGCATGTGTCTGAGAATATCTTGTCTGCCTTAGAAAAGTTGCTGATCCTAAAGATTTTTTTTCTCTTTGTGTTGCAACTTGAGCTTTCTTTGATGTTTGCCTCTTTGTATATTACTTAAATAATTAAAACAGCTATTTTTCTGCTTTACATATAGAAAGTTTGATTTCCATCATTGAATTAGAATATTATCTTATAGGACTTTACTAAATAGAGAGAAGATAGATGATAGATAGATAGATAGATAGATAGATAGATAGATAGATAGATTCTGGATTCTGATATAAAAACTGTGATTCCATGAAATCCAGATGGACACAAAGCCCCATTGTGATTCTCTGCAGCTTCCAGGTGCTGACTTCCCACTAACTTCAAAGGGAATTGAGGAGGAAGAGAGCTCAATGCCTTGGGAATTT